CAGGCGCAGAAAGGTGCTCGCGGGGGGCGCGAAAGCGTGGACTTTATTTACCGGATGAGAACTGATAAAAATCGGCAAAACCACCGCCGCGGCCGGCGCGCGCGCGTGCATCCATCGGGGGTTAAAAGTTTAATACCACCGCTAGAATTTCACCTCTCTCAGAGAGAGCGATAGACCGAAGTTCAATATTAACTTTTCCCTCCTCCCTCCCTCCTCTTTCTCTCTTTCCCCAGTCCCTCTCCCCCTTTTTTTCGGGCGGGAGTAGGAGAGAACCCGATGGTGTTTTTTACGAGCTGTTCATCCCATTTCCCGAGAGCCGTTGGCCGTATATCGGCTACATTTTCGCTCATTAAAAAGTTCCCGAGCTCGTGCCCAAGCGGGGTGTGCCTCTCTCGTTCACCTCCTTCTAGTCTTTACAGGGCACGGCGGCGGTGGCGTTCAGACTGGATTTTCATTATTAAAAAGTATTACAGCTGGCCAAAGGGATGCAAGAGCGAAGCGTAGGGGAAAAGAGCGAGAGAGGGAGGCAGATGGTGGACGAGGGTGGAAAGAAGGTGGACCGAACCGAGGGAATAAATGGGGATTACTTCGGGCACCGAGGTGGCGGAGCTAATTTCAAAAACCCGGTCGGAGTAATCGCCAGGATCTTGAAGGCTTCATGGATGAACTCGGCGACGACGGGGCGAACATCCTACCGTTTTCATTCTGTATCTACGCGCGATTAGCGTATGTCCGTCCTGTAAATGCGCGGGGGCGAGTCTTAAATAAATTATCTCGACCTGCTACGATCGGCGTACGTACCCAGGACGCTACTTATTTGAGCGTGGTGTTAAATGTTCCCAGTTGGTTTAGAAAAATGAAGCAGTATTAAATGCATGGAAAACTTGTACCAAGTAGCGTGGCTAATTCGAGGTTCAGCAAACGCAATCAGTGACGCAAGTCTATGACGTATGATGGTACGATGACACCGACGAGATATTCTATTTGATCTTCATACGCAAATGTTTACAATCCCATTAAGTTCTGATTGGTTGAGAACGAGAACGCATGGACGCGTGCGATGACAGTAAATACTGACCAGTATTGCGCCAACTGGGATTACATCAAGTAAATTATATTAAGTAAATACAATTATTATTACAGCTAGCAAAATCGTGGCGCTTACATTAAGGATTTGTTGAAAACATCATTAACGTTCTAATTAACTCACTGACGTTATATTAAATCAGAATTTATCCTTGTCATAATTTTGAGAAGAATACCAAGAAAGTATCGTATTTGTTGCTTAGAAAAATAAAGAAAAAAGATAAGATAAAAAGCAGAATAATATTTAAAATTATTTAATAAAATAATTTCTAAATCTTGAAACTCCATTTTCCTTAAAAAATGAGTAGACTATGCTTATCTGTATTATCAGTTGTTTTAAAAAATATTAAAAATATTCATTCTCTCTCTCTTTCTCATTTTCGTGAGATATACATGGGATAATGCAACACTCTTGCGGATAGTAACAAGAAATTTGTTTACGGAGAGGTTGATAGTTATGGCAGTTCATAGAAGATGAAGAAAAATATACGCAGCACCAATATTTCATAACTTGTAGACACACACGTAGTGTCTAGAGTCATATTATGCACAGAATACATTTAATTTTTTCACCGAACTAGATTACTCAGTTACCGTGGGAAAACACGTGAAATTTAGTTAATTTCGACGCGTACATACGCGACCGGTGTGCCTTTTAAACCGCGCTTAATTAAAACTTTAGATTGCCTACTGAATACATTAATGCTATCCTTTCTATAGAAAAGTACAAAATAGAATGAAATATATCGCGGAATAATACTGGTAACAATTTTGTTCATCTTGAATTAAACTGGAAAATAGAAATAGAAGTTTAACTTAAATCTCGGCCAATTAAGCCTGGAAGGTACAAATAAATGAAAACATCTTGTTTTCTCGTTGATTTCAATCAACTAGATTTTTTCAACTTTTCAAATTTAACAGATTCTAGAGAAGAGGGAATAATTTCGATCGGAATAATTCCGAATAATTCTATAATAGATGCCCAGGAGCAAATGTGTGTTTGATACTTCAAGCCTAGGTAGGTATAAACAAAAACGGAGCAAAATGTCAAATGTATAATAACAGAGATAAGGCTTACCAAGAATCAGAAGATCAGACAAAGGAACGGTAGAGAGAGATTAACAAGATAGATCCGTTAGCAATACTGTAATCCCATGATCCTTTTGCAGGATCCCTGTGGGCGAACCGTCCGGGAAATTCACCTTTCCGCCGCGAAACAAACAGAATTAAAAGCGATCCGGTATGCTTGTGTTAAACGTGATTAAATATCAAAAGCCGACCGTTTTCCGTGACACGCCCATCCTCTAATACTTTCCACACGTACAGTCTTATTATACGACGGCTAATTAGAACGATGAGAGAGGTCAAGAGCGGATAATATATTGTTCTTGCAAAAGAACGGGAGTCACACACAGAGTTGAAATTAACTAAAGAAACGGAATAACCAACGTGGCTACAAGCGAATTAACCGGACTGAAGTCTCCCTTTTCGGTAAATTTCGTATGAAAATATGCATGGCTGCGCATGAAGCAGAATTTAGTGGTGCAAAAGAATACGGACTTCGTACCAAACTATTAATTTATACAAAAATGTCTCTTAAGGCATTCTTCAAACTGAACTTTTATACGATTGATGTATCAGATCAGAACTAAACACATACATAGCTACTAAAGGGTGTTTTTTTAAGTCCGATAGATTTTTTTAAGCCCGATAGAATTTAAAATTGTAAAAACTAACACAAAAATTAAATTATAATAAAAAAATTTTTTTTAGTCGAAAGATCAATGCATGGCATTAACATTTGAAAATGATTTCGGGCATATGGCCACCGCGGCTGTTTAATTTAATTTTTTGTTTTATTTTTTACAATTTCAAGTTCTATCAGGCTTAAAAAAACACCCTTTAATATCGAGTAATCGCGATGTCACAAAGAATGGAAAACTACAAGAAAATCGAAAGAGAGAGAGAGAGAGAGAGCTGAATACTTCATTTCCTTGACTGTTACATTTGACAGAGAAGTTTGAGTAATGAGAAACGCGACTGATTCTTTATTTGCTATTTAATTTTGCTGCTTGATTTATGCTTTTGAACTTACATAATAAATGCCGAACAGAAAATGATTTATTAATATTAAATTCTCTTATAAATAACTCAATTCTGAACGATATCTATGTGCATAAGTTAGAGATTCTCAAATAAGAGATTTGTAAATCATTTCAGAGACAACTTTTGATTGGTCCGGTATATTTAAGACAGTGCTTAAGATAGAATAAAACAGATGCATAAGGCAGAATGAGATACACATGGAGATTTATCTCATTCTATCTTAAGCGTTTGGTCTGCTATTTAGGACGATGTCCAATCTTTAAGTCTTTGGAAAGATTTGCATTTCCTCGCGTTCATCATTTTTCAATTTATGAACAACAAGAATCGTAATGCTTGTTTTTCAATTTCGTCAAAGTTCGCTTATTTACATAATATCATCTTATTCTTTATCCGCAAAAAATGTCGGGAAGAAAAAAGAAATATAAAAATAGAGAAAAGAAAGGTCTTCTCTTTAATAATTTCATTTATTATCGTCGTCGCATTGCGATGCCTGCGGCTGCTGTTCCCTTTCTCTATTACGTTACTCTTAATTCCGACAAATTATTATAAAACAATGTTATCGTTTCATTTGACGTTGAAATTCCAGAGATGTGCCCACAAGAATGTGCCAGAGATGGGCCTTAAATACCTCGGGCAGAAAAATTTCAAAGTGCGTTCAACGATAATTACATTCGAAATAATTTCATTCTTTCTGGCTCTCTTTCTGCACAAAAAGCAAAAGCCAATTCAAAATTGCACCGATCAACAAAGAATAATGGATTCAGAAATGTATACATTCAAAAGTCTAATCAATTATTATTTATCTTATTTATCTTTTTTAATTCAACTCATTGTGTACAATAAAATAATATTCACATGTTGGCAGAAAACTTTTTTTTTAACTTTATCGAAAAATCCCGGAAAAAACCTACGTCGGTGAATGCTTTTGAGTCAAATATTTGATGGTATATTTTCCCAATTTAAAACGTTATTAATTGAAGCTTAGGCTTCAATTTTCAACGAATGGTGCAACAACTTTCAATACCGTGAGGACGATTATTATTCGTTATCCTGTCGTTAGTTCCGCCGAGCTGGCTCGAATTTATGGTCGCGATCGAACGGCGAGTATTTGCGCGAATACCTCGAAGCGGCTTAAGCGGCTTTTAAAACGCACAGTAACGTGTTTTACGTGTTTTTAAAATTCTTGTTTATATCCACGACTATTTCTAGGGGTTAAAAGAAAAATCCTTTCTGGCGTCTAACACGAAACGACGCGGTACATGTTACAAAACAATTCTCTTTTGAGAAATTTGATACGTCTACATTTAATATACATTACGAAGCTCGTGTACAATAACATTCAAAAGTTTCTTAAACTGTAACTCTGTCTTATATACTCTGTATATAGAATACAACAAGTGAGAGACTTTCTTGTTACAGCTCCTTTAGTTTATTAAAGACAATATGCACGCTGCGACATCACGCGCCATCTCGAATAGAAATGTATCTTTAGAATCTTCATCGTGTTTGGCAAACTTATAGCATTTCGCGCCGCGACGAGACAAGGCATTTTGATGATAAAAGTTAGTAATTACGAATCGACGCCGTGTATAAACAAGAAAGAGAAAAAGACGTACGTCGGATATACAATAATCCAAGGGTGCAATTATCGAAGTTTACCAGGTCGCTGCAGTGATTTTCCGTATAAGCTCGAGAGAGAAAGAGAGAGAGAGAGAGAGAGAGAGATTTCAAAACTCACGAAGATAGAGATGATTAATTCTGACGATGCGGGGCGAATACGAGGAAGAAACCGCGAAACGAACCACTTGGCAGTCATAGAAACTTTTAATGGCACGACGCGGGGAAAAGCGGAGAGCTCGACATGAAATATGTAAGAGCGTAAGAATCTATCGGACACAAAGCGGCATATAATCGCCGGAGCCGTGCATTGTTCCGCACACAATGCTGCACGCGAAACGAGGCGACGCACTGACGAGAGTCGGGCGACAACACTCGGCGCGGTCGATCGGGTCTTATGAATTTTTCAACCCGACCGTCGGCGACGAAGTCGGCAGGAATATATTGGATTTGCCATAAAAATAGCAAATGTCATCAAGATAAGTTGTTTTTAGATGTCCGGTTATTTTCCGATGACGTTATGCGAGAATCAAATCACAAAGAGAGAGAATCACAAAGACGATATCTTGAAGTGATGGCTCTTAAATATTACGAGTATCTTTTGCAGCTTTATATCATTATATCTGAAAATTATGGACTTGCTTTCTGCAAAATTAAATTTACCAATGAACTACGTGCGCGAAGTCTTGAAAGAGAGGTATTGTATGTAGAATAATATGTGAATGAACCAATTAAATAAGAAACGCCAACTATGATCAAAAGTTAAATGTTGGAATAGTGATTTTATATGTAATTTATTTTAAATATATTTACTTTAGATGTGACTGCGTGCCGATTACTTTTGAACTTGCAACACAACCAAACTGAAATAATATTAATCTTACGTTAATTAATAATATTAAATTTGGTCATCGATTTAAAAAATTATTATTGCAAAAAATATTACCTAATTCGGGATTTTTACATATAATATGTGTGTTACATCTCTAACATATTCATCTTGTGTTGATTAACAGAAAAATTTAGGCGAAAGGTTTGAAATGTGAAATATATTAAAGAACTCCGCACTAATCTTATGAAAAAGTGATCTCAGTCAAATTGATTGAAATTGTTGTAGTGTGTTGCTTATAACATGTTAATAAAAAAAAAATCTTCATAGACATAACCATTAAAAAATGGATAGATTTGACTGTAGCAATTTTTTTTTTATTTAAGGTCTAATCGGATTAAAAGAAACTACCCCTACAGTATAATTTTTTTTAACTAATTTTTTTCTAGGCGTATATCCATTACACGGAGAGAATTTTGTTTTAAAATTTACTCCGAAAATACAGTAATTGCAATACAATACAATATTTTTAAGATTTTTACCATGCACTTCAGTAAAATTAACAAACTTATTTTATACTTTATTGTACTTTTATTAATGAATGAAGGAGATTTACAGAAATCAAATAAGATCGTGGTCGGCCTTACTCAAAGCTAATAAAAGATATCGCCCTAAATCTATCATGAATCCATAGAGGGCACCTTTGTCCTTGATGCACTATCAAGAAAGATTCAGTTGTTATTGAACTTTCTTAAGAGAATCACATTAAACGCCATGAGTACCAAATACGCATCACGCTGTGTTCCTCTGCACTCACGAAAGGTCCAAAAATGTCACAATTAGCGGCTGCTAAATATATGAAAAAGTCGAAATCATTCATACAGAAATGGGTGCAGCGATATAATGTGGCAAAAAATGTCGATGATTTACCGGAACGTGGCTCGATATGCAAAGTGGACAAAAAAGATGATAAAAAAATAGTGAATCTGTTTTAACACGAAATCCTGGCTTAACACTGGCGTCAAGGATAAGCAAAATTGAAGCAGAAAGGTTTAGATATATCGTACGAAACTATTCGAACCTATCTCAAGGCTAATAACATGAAATGGTGCAACACCACGCTGGTCGACCACGCTCTTACTTGACATATTATTGTACATTAAAATTCTTGGAAACACAATGTTGTCCCTACCATATTTTCCGGATAAACTCTAAGAAAAAATTCTCTCCGTGTAATGACTAGGTTCATGCCTTAGTGCCCTGAATGTATGGAGATAGGGTAGCAATTTGTTGGTACAAATTTTCTCACTGTATCTCCGTGTGGCGATCTTCTGTACTGCAGAACGTAACGTCTGCAACGTACATTATAACGTAATGTAATTTCGATTGGAATATAAGCGGAATTTCTTTGCGAGAATGTGCTCGCGCGCAGAAGAATTAGCATTTTAATCGTTTATCCCGTCCCGGCGCGGTCCAGTGGCTGCGTTTCCCGCGTCGTCGGCTTATATCACGCGTGCACGCAGCGAGTCAGCCGAGTGTCTCTCCTACGTCGACGTTGGGTCGACGGAGTCGATGCTGCACAGTTTTCCCTCGGTACGTAACGAGGCTGCCTCTCTCGTTTGCATACTGATCGCTCCTTGTTTTTAATACGGCCGTAGACGGACGGCGCGGCACGACGTATAATTAGGTTGCCGCACTTCGCGTCACGCTCGACCAGGGTGAGTTAACTGCTCGTCGCCGACGCTTTCAGTCAACCTTTTTCTTTTTTCTTTTTTTCCTTTTTTTATTATAATCCGTCGGAACGGCGCGCGGCGCTTCGTTTCACTCGCTATATTTCTAACGAGATGACTGTTCCTCGCGTTTATATTCGCGCAGATTCAAACGTAACTCTGGTAAACGCAACCATTAGGATTTATTCATCGAAAATTGCTTCGATTGGTCGTCGAAATGTACACAGTCAATAGCAGATCGTTATGATATTTAATACTCAATTTTTCGAACATACCATCACAGAGGAAAGAACTACTTTCCAACGAGAGAGGATTCAATTTACAAATGATGCAAGTACTTCAAAACGAATGCCCATACAGTTTTACAAAGCAAAGAACGGGCGGTATCGTGTGATTTACAGCCATCCTTTCATTCCCTTTTTACACGCAACATATCGAAATATACTCGATACCAGAGAGATTTAAATATTTCGCATTATCGTCGTGATGTCAACATTTATTAAACAATTTATCAATGGTTTAATAAATGATTTTTCATTTTTGTGTGATCAGAAAGTGTGATTTGTAACATAATCATTAATGTAAGTTATTTAATTAGCAAAAGGGCAACTAATCCCAAATTCAATCAATCGACTGCGAGGTTGCTACATCAATGGATTATCCAGAATAACTTGGACTTTCTCAAACTATTATTTTTTATGAGAAATTTAGCAATATCGATAAACTTTGAATGGACGCACGAAATCTAGAGCATAGTCATTAATTGAAATTTAGATTTATATTTATACAATATATATGTATATATTTGGTACGACAAAAAATAACTTCGACAGAGAATCCTTAATAATTCCTCAGGTAAAATTACATATATTTGAAAGATATCGAACACTGCGCAAATTTGATATTGAATAAAATAAATTGGAATAGAATAACCTACATACGTTATTATACTAATATTTTAGATAGCTACACAAATATTAAAATATTAAAATAGGTCACATTTCCTTTGAATTAAAATTAAACAGAAATATTAACTTTGTTTCATATTGGCTTTGTAACAGATAATCTGATACAGTCATTTAAATAATAAAAAAAAAAATTGTTAATTTCAAAAAGAGAACATTATTATTTCATTACATCGATAATGTTCAATTCGAAAAAACCATTGCGGATGACATTCTATTTTTAAAACTCTTTTTTTTATTCAGCACATATTCCTGTATCCCATACAGTAATATATCATAATTTTTTTTTACTTTGTTTCAATATTCTGTAATAAACACATTAATCGATGCGTGAGATCGGATGTCGCGAAATACATCGTTCATGTTATGTTCGAGATTCTTCTATTTTGAAAAAGGGGGGAAAAAAGGATTAAATGTCATTCATGTTAATCCGCATTTTTCACGGAAGTAGAAGCAACGCCAAAGCACGCGTCACACAATCACGATGCTGTTACCGGAAATGATATCGAATATCCAATTTACGGCCAATGTCCGTTTTACGGTCGTAGCGTTACGGTTCGGACCTCATATAATTTCCATTCGCAAAATAATGGCGTTTCGTTATTTCGCGAAAGGGAGGAGGTTGATCGATCGGACACGCAGAAAAGAACTGGTGTCACTCGTTACTACGTCCGACTAACTTCCCGACGCGACGAGAGCGGAGTTAATCTTGTGCGAACGAGAGCGTCTCTCTCTCTCTCTCTCTCTCTTGCTCTTTTCAGATCTAGCTTTCCTCTCCCTTCTACACGGACAATCGCGTGATCGAAATTGAAACGAACGAGCGGCGAGAGGTCGCGTGCTATCGAGAGGGTTCTCTGTACGGACCTTTCGCCATCCCCGCAGGCTTTTCGTTCGCGGCCCAACTGTCCATTCCCAGCCGTTAATCCCAACGGAGGGTTTCCGGTCGAAGGGTACGCGCCCAGGCAACGTACAATGGCGCGGTCCGCCTGACGGAAGGGAGTGAAGGGTGTACAGGATATGCCTCAGGAATCGCGCGCTATCTCTCCATTACGGACACTTGAGGCAAAATTCGATGGAATTTAGGTTGCCTCTACGTGCGGCATCAAATTCTCGAATTGCAGCAATTGAATTTTGGACTTGCGGATAGATGATAAGGACGTATCTTTTATTGAACCTTTAAATAGATTTCCGTATTGACGGAACTTTAATTTGAGATACAACAATGTAAATACTTGTAAAAACGTATATTGGGTATTGGTGTTTTGTATATTAAATATGCATTAAAATATAATAATCTAAACATTTCGACCTACAATTTTGATGAAATTCTGATACTAGTTACGGGAAATCTATTTATGACAACCGAATAATTCGATTTTATCACCGCATGATTATATGTTGTTAACATATTGTTATAATACGATAATATGCGACAATATAATTTTAGTTTAGGTAAATAGTTATAGATTTACTAAAGATAATCAAAATTGTGAGTGGAAGCATTTAGATTATTGTCTTTTAATGCACTTAACAATAATATTCTAATAATCTAATATTTGTAAAATACATAAATATTTAGAATAAGTTCTTACAAACATTTATATTGTTGTAATTTATTTTCTTTAGACCTATATATTATATATTTTTTAAATTGTGATTTTTTAATTTGTGATTCGTACACGAAGATAAACTGAGAAAGATTGAATTTTTAAAGTAGTAATTTATAGCAATTTTGCACAAAAACAAAATTCTATAATTGAAATAAAAAATCATTAAAGTAGAATTCGTATGATTCTTTACAAAGAATTTTTTTCTGAATTTGCTAAGATTATAACCAACTTTTTATATATAATTATTAATCTTTCAATGCCACACACTATACCGTTGTCATACAAAATAGAGTACAATAATCTGTGTATGGCATTTCCAATCCAACTTTAATTGCTTATTTAAAACTTTCATAAAAATAAACATATTGTTTCCCAATCAAAACGCCAGACATTGAGGAATACAACGATATCGAGCAAACGTGTATGTAATTTTATTACTAAAAAAAAAATTGTAAACAACAAAATAGAAATTTCGGAAAAAAAATTTTAAAAATTGGATATGCTATATCGACAGTGGCATTAAAAGATTAAATTGATGTAAAAAAGAAAAAGTAAACTCAATCAAGCATATATTGTTTTCAGATTATTTCCATTCACGGAAATGCCTACTTTCGTCTGCGCGAAGA